CAGCGTTGCTCTAGGCGTCTCTTTTGGCGCTTCATCTCCCAGAGTTCCTCAGTATCTCCTGGAGCCCTCCTGGATCCACTGCTGCAGAGAGGACGTAAAGGCGCAATCTGGTTTAGAGCCTCCGCTATATTCCAAGCAGCGACCAAGGACTCCGCCGGACTGTGGGCCAGAGAGTCAGGTATCTCACCAAGTGCCGTCTGAAATCCCATAGGGTCCATCAGGGTCTACTGCTGCAATCCCATCTCTGATTCAAGCAATGACTTCAAAGTTTCTACAGATCAACATGGCAGATGGAGGTTTGGAGGTGCTGGCAGGGCCCTCTTCAAAATGCATAGGCCAGATCCTCCACCCAAGGGGGGGGGGAGGGAGGAAAGGGCAGCACAAGGAAGGCCTCCCCGGGACCCTCAGGGAACAAGGACAAACCCAGGGAGGGAACCCGGAAGCATAAATCTGTAGAGCACAGACACCAGCAGGCCCAGAGGCAGAGCAAATCCCGAGTGGATGGACTCATTGCCTTGTCCACCCTCTGGCCAAATAGAAGAGAGGGAACCTGGTTCGCCTCAAGAGAACAGACCTCCCTCATTAATTGGGGAGGAGTCGTGGGATTCCTCCTGCAATGCTTCCAGGGGCTACCCTGAATCACCCAGTTCGTCACTCAGGGAAGAACTGGAACCCTTTCAGGGCATCCTCCCAACGGAGGAGGGAGCTGGTTTGGTTAGGAATAGGGGCCTCCTCACTCCGTGGAGGATAAAGAACCAGCCCTGTCCGCAGAGATAAAAGAAGTAATTGCCCAAACCATCTCCCAGGGCATAGCCGAAGTGATCTGGCAGAAAGATGCCGACGCGGCGGGAACATCTAAATCATGACCGCCCCCAGTTCGGGTCAGGGACCAGTCCCCAGCCTCTCCTGGCACCTCAGTTGCCACAGAGGAATCAGTCTGGAAGAAGGAGAAGGCCGAGGAATTTGAATTATAAGAGGATGAAGACCTTTCTCCTGATAAGCCCGCTTCACTGGGTTATTTAAGCCATCCTTGTTTAAGGCCATCCTATAGAAGGCCAAAGCTTCTACCGAGCTAGGGTCAAACCCTAAGGGTATGACTGTACCATCCTCCTCCTCCTCCTCTAAGCCCAGTACCTTAACTAGCAGTGTGGATAAAAATCTGTATTCTGTAGAGACTACTAGGATGGAGGATATTTTGAAGTTGCCCAAGATAGATGCCCCGATGGTCTCATTGACTTCCAACTCAAACCTGCTGGCAGACCTGCTGGACGGTCTCAAGGTGAAAGACAAAAGATCTGAAAAGGCCTGTCATAAAATGCATCAGGAAGCCACCTGGGCAATCAGGACATCTACCTCTGCGTCCTTCTTCACCATGGCTTCTCTCCTCTAGCTGAGACAATTGAGATCCAAACCTTCTTCTGAGGGATCTCAATGGCGTCACGATCTCAATAAAATTATCACCGCAGTGGAATATTCAGCTAACGCTTCATTGAACATGGCGAAATTAGCGTCCCATGCATTGGTGTCCAATGCTGTGGTTTCACCACTGGCAGGCGGACATGAAGGCAAAGTGGAAGCTGGCTTCTGCTCCATTCAAAGAGGACAGCTTTTTGGGGATAGCCTGGACAAATTTGTGATTGAGACGAAGGACAAATGGAAGGTCCTTCCGGCCACTCTTAAGAACCCTCCCATAGATGGCCTGCTTCAATTTTATGCCGACAAATGGGAGGAAACTACGTCAGACCCGTGGGTTCTCAACACAATCAGGAGGGGTCTAGTATTAGAATTTCTGTCGTTTCCCCAACAGACCTTCATTCGCTCTCCAACTTCCAAGAATCCCTTAATGCAGGCGGAGATTTGTCACCTTCTCCAAATAAAGGCCATAGAATCCGTACCAACGGATCAGGAAAAGCAGGGATTCTATTCCATTCTTTTCCTGGTCCCGAAAAGCTCAGCGGGGTGGAGGGCCATCTTGGACTTGAAGGGCCTAAATCAACATGTGGCCTACAAGCGCTTCAAGATGCAGTTGCTCCAGTCCATCCTGGACTGCATAAGGCAAGGAGACTTGCCCACCTCCATAGACTTAAAAGAAGCTTACCTGCACGTTCCCATTAATGCGTTGCACAGGAGGTTCCTGTGGTTCCATTACGATGGGAGGCATTACAAGTACAGGGCTCTGCTTCGGCCTCTCGTCACAAAGGCGGCAGTGGCGGCTCACCTCCGGTCCCGTCCGATTCGACTGGAATGCTACCTGGATGACATCAACATTCAGTCCTTGAGCCGCAACCAAGCCCTGCGGGATGTTCAAGTGACCACACGCACCTTGCACTAGCATGGCTTCTTGGTGAACTGGAAGAAGAGCCATCTCGAGCCGACTGCACAAATTCAGCACTTAGGCACCATCATAGACTCGGTCTCTTGTCAGGTCTCTTCTATCTTCAGACCGTCTGAGCAACCTCAGGACCAGAGGTCGTCAATGCTGGCAGCTCAGGTCAATGCCGATCATCAAACTCTCGCAGCTCCTCGGCATCATGATCTCATGCCTAAAAGTAGTTCCCTGGACGCGTCTTTATGCTAGGGAACTACAATGGTTTCTTCTGCCGATGCAGAGGTCAAAGGACAGGAACTCTTCAAGACGCGTTCACCACCATAGAAGGTACTCCGCTCCCTCAGATGGTGGCAGTCAACAGCAGTAAAGAGGGGGTGCTAATTCAATGAGCCCAAAAAAGTTGTAGTAACCTCAAATGCCAGCCTCTATGGATGGGGCATACATTGTCAAGGTCAGTTGACATAGGGCAGATGGACACAGAGGGAGGCAGCTCACAACATAAACTGGCTGGAGTTGAGAGCTGCCCAACTCGCCCTGGCATTTCTCAGTCTAGATTGTGGGCCATCATGTACTGTTACTAATAGACAAGATTGCAACAAAGGTCCACATAAACTGGCAGGGCGGCACCCACTTCAGGAGACTCATGACAGAAGCGGAGTCTCTGAGCAGGTGAGCGGAACGTCACCTAGCGTCCATCAGAGCAGATCATATATCTGGGACATACAACGTGAAGGCAGACAGGCTGAGCCGACAGACGATCAACAACTCCCGAGTGGTGTCTGCATCCAGATCTGTTTCAACAGATAGTTCGGAGGTTCGGCCAACCGCACGTAGACCTGTTCACTACTCACACCAACACACACCTGCCAAGGTTTTTTTCCCCGTTACCACTCATCCTGGGCAGAGGGGACGGATGCGCTGAGGTGCAAGTGGCCTTCAAGACTTCTCTATGCATTCCGCAGGTAGTGGTCAAACTCCTAGCGGAGAAAGCAGAGATCCTCCTTGTGGCCCCACATTGGCCCAGGAGGTCCTGGTATGTGGGCCTTGTCAGCCTCTCCACCCGGAGGTCGTGGAGGATTCCTCAGGAGCAGATCTCCCTCAGCCAGGTGGCCATCTGCCATCCAGACTCCCAGTGGCTCCACTTAGCCTCTGGCACTTGAGGGGAAGCTCCTGAGGAACCAGAATCTTTCTGACAAGGTCATCAAGACTATGCAAGCGTCCAGAAGGCCATCCATTACACGAATATATGATGCAACATGTGTCACCTTTTCAACCTGATGCCAAGAGCGTGGTATCAGAGACATTTCAGCTTCCATATTGCAATTGCTAGACTTCCTTCAGGATGGTTTGGACAAAGGACTGGTGCCCAACACCCTTCGCTGCCAGGTCGCTACTTTGTCCACCATCTTCGCTAGAGGTTCATCCCGATCCCTGAGCCAACAGCCTCAGGTCAAGAGTTTCCTGAAGGGCGCAGCCAATATCCGTCCTCAGACTACACACAGATATCCTTCTTGGAATCTGCCGTTTGTTCTCCAAACCTTGACGAGCTTGTCATTCGAGCTAATTCGGACTGCCAGCCTTTGCCATTTGACTCTTAAGACTGCCTTTCTAGTTGCGATTACGTCTGCTAGAAGAATCTTAGAGCTTGTGGCTCTCTCAGTCAGGGAGGAACCGTGCGTAATACATACTGATTGGGTCATCTTGAGACTCTACCCCACCTTTATCCCCAAGGTGAACACTCACTTCCAGAGCCCAGGAAGTGATTCTCCCTAACTTTTGTCCCAGACCTACGCATCTTAGGGAGCGTACTTGGCACAACTTAGACGTTAGGTGAGCTGTTCACATATATGTTAGGAGAACTAAGGAATTTAGACACTCTGAGTCATTTTTTGTATAATTTCAGCCTGGGCTGCTGGGCTGCAAGGCCTCATCTTCAACCATTAGACGTTGGCCTGCATCAAGATGGCTTATGAACCTCAGGGCAGAACAGTGCCAGGTCAGGTGATGGCACACTCCACAAGGAGTGCTGCCACTGCAGCAGCATGGGCGACCCAAGCATCCATCATTGACATTTGCAGAGCAGCTACATGGGCGTCCTTCACTGCATTCATTAGAAATTACAAAATTGACACCTTTGCTTCAGCTGAAGCTTTCTTTGGAAGATGTGTTTTGCAGAAAGTTGCCTCAGCTCCAGACAATCTGGACACAAACTCTTCCCATCCTGGGACACAATAGCTTGGGTATGTCCCATGCTTGGACTCTCCAAGCAGTGCACAGGAGAATGACCGTTGGCTTATCTGAACGGTCGTTCTCTGGGCATTGCGGGAGAGTCCAACCCTGCCCAGGGTTTAGTAGGTGTCCAAGACTTTTTGTCAGTTAGAATCCTGTAAGGCATCCTGTAGCTGATAAGACCTTTGTTTTTAAACTCACCTCAATGAGGCAAAGGAGGCATGGTTAAAGAAAAATCTACTCAGTCTTAGGGCAGATAGACTATATTTAACCCATGCTTGGACTCTCATGCAGCGCCCAGAGAACGACTGTTCAGGTAAGCCAACGATCATTTTACATAGGCTTTTATTTGATGATTTACATATTTGAGTTGTTAGTTGTCTGGTCATTGTATGTGAACAGTCAGCATAATGAACTGCCAATAATTGGGGAACTGCTTGGCTTCTACATTTGCTACTGAAGAAAGCAAGCCACTCCTTGATAAATAATGCAGGTTAAAGAAGCTTGGACTGTATTGTTTCTTACACTTTCAGTTCAACAGAATATCAGTGATTTCTTAATGTGTACTAGACATGAAGTTTGTATTGTGGATTGACGGATGAGTCAGTATAGAAGCTCTGGCTACCAGTAATGATAAGCATGGAAGCACAAGCCTTTTATAAAGCTGCTAATGTTTTTTTTATTGTTGTTTCTTAGCAATCTTTATACGTTTATTTTTAAAACTTTCATATTTTATTTGAAATTTCATTAATAAATGTAAGAAAAAAATAAAATTAATCATCTGCATGTAAAACCCTGAAATATAATATTTCTAATATCATCTTAACATAATACTTTCTTCCATTTAAAGTTATTTTTGAAGGGTAAGAAAATGCATCACAGAAAACCATACAATAACTATATCAATAATGCATTATTGAAATAGCAATTGCCTCAAGGTTTTATAATCCCACACCCAGCAATTTATCTGACATTAACAAGCATACTCAAACTTTTCACTTCTTCTCCTTGCAATCAAAGCTTCTCTTATTACTCTTCTAAAAAGCAGCAATTAAGAGGCAACTTATTGAAAGAAGGTGGAGATACTATATATTCAAGAAAAATGAATTTGGAAATAATGTTAGTACAATACTCCTCCAATATCAAATGTATCCATTACATTTAACACAAACTAAAGCAAATTAACTATCCATGTTTATTTTTCAAAGGCTACTGCGATGAATGCATTTTGTTAAAGAATAATGACTACTTTTACCTTGATACATATCCAGAATTCTTAAGGTCATCTCTGCTGTTGTCTTTTGTTTGTTCATTTTTATTATCTGTCTGACACTGAGTTTCAGACTCCTTCCGCTGCTGATAAAAAAATAAAATAAAGTCAATTAAACTGAAATGTTAATTGGAAATATTATCTAATTTCAGATGTGCATTTTGGATTTCTAAAGATATTCCAAAAAACATCACAGATTGCACCACCCACTCAATCTGAGTAGAGAGAATGGCTGTGGAAGATTTCTTCTCAAAGAAGGGGAGGAGTCTCAAAATGGGCATGTTCCCTTTATTAGAAAATTTGTCATGATACACTGTAGAATGTAAAAACTGGCCGTTTCAGAAGTATTTTGGGATTAGTTGGCAGGGAGTTTCCAGTACCAAAGGAATAAATGTTAATATAATCTATGTTTTCAGGTAGTATTAGTGTTTTGCATATATTTTAAGTATTTGCATTAACTATTCTTGTATATTATTAGAGTCCTTCAAAACTGAACAGCTTATTCATTTCACAAATAAATATTTTCAGCTGACATGAATTTAAAAAGTGACAGTTTCAAAACTAAACTTTAAAATAATTGTTTCAATGTCTGGCATTGGGTGTGTAGTGTTATCACATAATATCCTTCATAATATCCAATCATATGGTGTGATTACATAAAAACATGGTATAAAATATAAATTAAATATATTAATAATTTAGAAATCCTGTTTAGAATTCTAAATGTTACTTTTACTGCACTAAAAGATGAAGTGGACAATATCACACCTGTTTGAAATACCTTTTAATTATTTTACTACTAAGTTCTCCATAAAAGAAATATGTGTACTTTCACTTCTAGAATACTATACTTACCCGGTTATGAGCATCAGGATGGAAAAGCCTGCGCACAATGAAAGTTGTGGCCATAATACAGAATAAAATGGTACTAGCAATTTCTTTCCACCAGTGCAGAAGTAGAACTGGATCTTTCTTTCGGTTACTCTTTGAATTCATATCGTCAGAAAATCTAACAGTTATCTGTGTGCTTCGTCTATGTCTCTCTCGTGTGTAGTATGGTAAAAAATAGCCATTATCTATAATTAAAATAGTGAATATTATTAAATATTTTCTAAAACCCACTTAAATCATATTCTTTATTGCCACATTCTGGGGTATCCCAACATAGTCACACTCTGAGGTACCCCAACATAGTACTCAGGCTTGAATGTGGGATGTCCAAAACTGAACATAGGACATAGAGATTATTGGAGATATAGTAAAGATGAGATTTTTTTTCCCTCCAGGGTTGCTACAGCTAGTCCTGTATTATGACAGTTACCATTCATTATGAACAAAACGGTTGAGGAGAAATTAAGAACATTTGGGATGCCAGCCAATTCCTTTTTAACTGTGAACTATATCTATGATGAAAAAACAGTGCTACAAAGATGAAACAACATCAACTATTGGGGCCAGGGGGAGGGTCTTCTGACTCAGTGTCCTACTAACCACATAAGAGTGACAACAGTTTGGCAGTTCTAAATCTGAAACTACAAGTTTCATGATGGAATGAGCTCCTGTAAATTTGTCCAAGTTCCTGCCAGCATTAAGTTCTAATGCATTCTACAAATGCAAGAAGATAAAACAGGTACCACTTCACTGGAAAAATACCAGGGACATGAAAGGGCATCCCATAGGCAACAGCCATGTCACTAGCTAATCCTTTTAACTCAGGTGCCTTGGTGAATGCTTCTGACACCAATGTAGTAGTAGTGGTATCAAATATCAGCATGAAGGCAGTTCATTCTCCCAGATTTCTAGACGTATGTTAGAAATAACTTCAAGAGAACCTGCAAGACATCTGTACACCCTCATTTTCTCTAAATTGAAGAAAAAACTTTTCAAGTCTATGCACATCCTCCTCCCATCTACACTAACATTTTTCTATTTCAGCATATTTATATCTTGTCTTCTCTATTACAACTTTTATAAGGATCTTTTAAAGGATAACATAACCCACCTGGGAGAATAATAATTTCACCTCAGCTTTGCATGGGCTACATGGAAATACTTTTGTGGCAATTAAAATGAAACAATGTTTTACATGAAATATAACTGCCAACCCCTTCTCTCTCCTTTTCATTTAACTATCTGATTTTAGTGGGTTTAAATTGTACTGCTAATATTTGATTGTACATTAAAAAAATAGTTTTCTTACATTCGCAAATTTGTTAAAAAATAAACTAGTTTCTTCAAAATGCTTTAGGAATACTGAGTAAGGTTTTAAAACTACTTATTTTACTTATCTGTCTTCCCTGTATGTCATGAGAACCCAGCTGGGAAGGTGAGAGCTAAATCTGAATCCACACTATTTATCAAGTACAATATTACAAAATCCATGTTGTGTGGCCCTAAAAGGGGTTCTCTTTGGTTAAAAATTGCTGTTATAAACAATGAGTAGGAAGTCCAAATGTAGTAAATATCATTGCTACAAATCTGGATCTTTTGAAGATTACCTCAGAAAGGGTTGTTTTTTAGATAATTATTTTTTTTAAAAAAATCTTTACTATTTTTTTCTGCCAATGCCTCTTCCTCTTGCTTCACATCCATCTAGGTTTTTTTTTATATAAAAAAATTCTCTTTATTTCTCAATAAACTATCCATTTCTCTTTCTCCATCACAATCTTATTTTCCCCTTTTTACTATTTCTTTTGGAATATAGCTGGGAAGCATATATGATTTACATATTACACCTGCTCACTTCTGTATAATTATGGTTTGTATGTGAGAAAGACGACGGTTATATATAGATAGGTCAATTAATTCTGTAAATGGACTGCCTTATTTTATATAATTAATTTGGTTGATAAACCAAATTATCAACAGGTGCAGAGCCATATTTGGTGGCACATCAGCCATCAGCTCCAACGTGCATGGATGTGCCAGCCAGCTGATTTTTTGCTCTGCCCAGGCTTTAGGCTTTCTTGAAGCCTGGGGAGGGCAAAAACGGCCTCCCCTGCCCCCCCGGAAAGATTGTGTCTGAACTTCTCGTTGGCCCGTTGGGGTTGTTTTTCACCCTTCCCAGCCTCTGGAGAAAATGGCCTCCCCTGGCCTCCCGGAAGTTGGAAACAGATCGTTTTCGAACTTCTGGTTGGCCCATTGAGGCAAAAAGCGGCCACAAAGGGACAACTGAAAGTTTGGAAATGATCCATTTCTGAAGGGATTCCAGGGGAGGTAGTTTTCGCCCTCTCCAGGCTTCAGGAAAGTCTCTGGAGGGGTCGTGTGCGCATGCACCTGGGAGTGGCGGGTTCATGCATGCATGCACCTGGGGGGATCGTGCGCACATGTGCAGGTGGGTGCGAAGATAGGGTGTGCATGCGCACAATAGCGTGTGCATGCACAATTTTGGCACACCATAACAAAAAGTTTTGCCATCACTGGTATATATGGACAGGAAATGATTTTAATCATGTGGACACTCAGGTAGCGAATGGGGGAAAGTTCCAAGAAATCTCTAGGAATGTTTTCAACTGGTGTTGGCAATTTTATATAGATAAGATAGGAAAACTCTACATTGTAAAAGATTTCTCATTGTATTTTTTTTTTTGGTCTACTCTTCCTTTTTTTCTTCTTTGCTAAAATCATGTCTTTCTTTTGGACATTATGCTAAAGCCAGTATCCTTTTGGAACAATCTCCCTATTCTAAGTTATTTGGTGAATATAAAACATTATCATTAATTTATCTAGAAACATAATTTACCAAAAAGGCCAATAATAGTTCCACAGAAATATCAGTATTGTGATTTTTTAAAAATTAGTGAAAGCCATAGGTCCTAGTGTAAATGCAATAATCTTTTGAAGCAATAGTTGAAAATAAAGCACAATTCACACACCATATGGATACTGCAGAACTGACAGAGCACCATTACTGTATTCTTCATGAGAAAACTTGTCATTGCTGAGACATTTATCAAATTCATCAGAGCCTACCAGCACAGGTGTTCTTGATGGAGAATCTAAAAGGAAAGCACATGTTTATAACCACTCTTAGCTCATATTTAAGTTTTATCAATATTAATTCAATAATGATCAAAATTAAAATTACCTAATTTGTACGTTATTACCTTTTTTGCCCTTTTCAAGAGCATTTTAAGAATGGAAGTGATATTTTAGAAAACATTTTTATCCGTTATAAAGGACCACAAGGAGTTGGCAAAAGGAAACCACACAAGTTCAGTTAATATTTTAATTACCCAAATATATTGAGAATGTACACAGCTGCCATAGTATCTGTTTTTAATTTGTTATAAAAACCCATAATTCTATGTTAATATTAAGAATATTAAATGAATTATTGGATGATTAATGGATATGGAATTCTTATATTTTTGATGACAATATCTCATGTACAGACTTCCAAATGCAAATTCCAATACATTTATCAATGCAATATGTTCAGAAAAATATCAGACCGTATACTTATTATTACTGAAAGAATATAAAAATTCCTTATTATAGTTTTTATCAATAAAAAACAGTATTGCTTTTTTCCCTGATAGTACTATCATACACATTAGCACAGGGATGTTCAAATGTTACTTTTATAAAGTTAGCAAACTATGAAATACATAAATGTTTCAGTATATAATGTGATATCTTAGAAAACATACAGAAGTTACCAATAGCTAAAAGTCATTAATAATTTATCAAAAATTATACTCCATCTTTCATTTTTGAAAAAGTAATAAATTTGATGTTACTTACGAATCAAAGGCTTCCATTTGATCATAGGCAAATGCATAACGGCATTATCATTTCTGGATTCCAAAGCTTTAGGGTTAGTAGGGAATTTTTCAGAAATTCTAACGGATGACTGAAGATACAGCTGACCTCTATACATTCCTGCATATAAAATCAGCAGTAATAGTTTTACAGGACTGATAAGCTTTATTCTTTAAATTTCAAGACAGATTTTGGATATTTCCCAGACAATTTTTTTAAAAAAATCCAGTAGTGAGATAATAATTGTATATTCTCAATAGCTGAGACCACCTCATTAAAAATTAATATGTACCAAATATATTTACATGCTACCCTTTCATTTCCCCCACAAGAATCCCAACTTGTTGTAAAAATGATAGATCTTATTATCTAATTCCATAGGCCATGCAGGAGACGTTTTGCTTTCAATGTATGACTTAATATAAAATGAAAATGGACATAATTATTGGTATTTCTAATCTAGAATTTCATAGCATATCCTTTTTAGGCAACAATTGCAATCAGGCACTTTTTATAAAGTGAATAAAACTTCTATACTTCTCTATAGGCAAAACTTTTCTTGAGCAAACTATTCCATTTATCTTATGTTTCATGAGTTCCTTTTCCTAACTGTACGTTTCTGCTTTTTCCATGTTCTATTTGATTCTGATCAGGACGCTTAGCAAGCTGAGTCTGAACAGTCCAAAGTTTGCTTTTCAATCATTCTTGGGTACTCTAGATCAGTGGTCTCCAACCTTGGCAACTTTAAGATCTGTGGACTTCAACTCCCAGAGTTCCTCAGCCAGCTTTGCTGGCTGAGGAACTCTGGGAGTTGAAGTCCACAGGTCTTAAAGTTGCCAAGGTTGGAGACCACTGCTCTAGATACACTGTATGTTTTAGATGATTATCCATGACTTGAGATTGAGATAGCTTTCTAACGTTGGCCATTATATTTCATTTCAGGTTTTCAATATCTTCCAATTTCCTTGGGCCCTGCACAGATTTAAGATACCCAGTGCCAAAGACATTTAAGCAACCCCATAATATTATGAAACTCCTCTAGTTTTCACAATAGATGTGTTCTTTACTTTAAAAGCATCAATTTTTTTCCTGCGAATGTAGAACTGCTGTGACTTATCCAAAAGCTGTGATTATTATGTTTCATTTATCCAAAGGATATTCTCCCAGTTATATTGTGGCTTGTCAACATGAATTTTAGCCAACTCTATTTTGCCTATCTGAAAGAGTGTGGTCTCCCTGAGTCTTCTACCATGGAGGCAGTTTTCAGTCAGGCAACAATGCATGATGCAATTATGTTGTTGTACTTTGATCTTGGAGATCAGCCAGGATCTGTTTTGAGATTTTCCATGGTTCTTTCTCCACCATTCAAATTATTATTCTGTGAAACCTGGGAGCAATATTCTTCTTGCAGCTATGTTCAGGGAGGTTGGAGCTAGACCCATTGTTAATCTTAAACTTCTTGAAAACATTAACAGTAGTGGTAACCGAAACATGAAGCTCTTTATAGAGATTTTTTTAACCTTTACCATGCTTAGCTATTGATTTCTTTGTTTCTTCCTCAGATAAAATGCCTTTGGCTTTACTTTTTATTGTCCATATTTACTTTACTACATAAAATGACACAAAATGCTTGAGTATTTTTCTCCAACTAGAATGAATGACTGATTATGACACCTCCTGTAGTATTAATTAAAGTAAATACTCTGCTTGGGATCATTAAAATCCAATGTCTTTTAATTTCTCAGGGGTATCAATAATTATATTTATGCCATTTTCATTTGTTTTATTATTTATAAAAAATATTTTAAGTCATACATCAAAAGGAAAGTGCCCATTCTATGCACTATGGAATAAAGCATGGTAAATACCAGCCCTTGAAGAGCATTCGGAGACTTCAGCTTGTCCAGAATGCAGCTGCGCGAACGATTGTGGGTGCACCTCGGTTCACCCACGTTACACCTATCCTCTGCGAGCTGCACTGGCTGCCTATTGGTCTTCGGATACGCTTCAAGGCACTAGTCGTCACTTATAAAGCCCTTCATGGTATTGGACTGGGTACCTGAGAGACCGTCTGCTGCCAATTACCTCCAATAGACCGATCAGATCCCACAGATTAGGCCTCCTCCGAATTCCATCCGCTGGCCAATGCCGACTGGTGACCACCCGGAGGATAGCCTTCTCTGTGG